ATATTCTTATTTGAGTTAGTTACATTTGCTCCTCATGTATCTACATGTGTATACCCTTATAAAATACAGTCTCTAGCACTAGGTAAAGGGGATTCTTTTCCCCTGACCCCTTGCTTGAGTACTAGGTTATCCCAGTCAGTAGTTGAGTGAACTAAGGGTAAGAAGAATTCTCTTGTAAGGAACAGTAAGTTTCCTTACACTTACTAACAGTAGAGAGTGTTTAGAAAGGTTAGAGAACCTTACTAATAGTAGGAGACATTTAGGAAGGCTAGAGGAACCTTACTAATGTGTAGTACAACAAAGACTACTCTGTTAATGTTTAAAAAAAAGTAGAACAGTACTAGGGAAGTACTAAACACTATTATAAACAAGTTCCAAGTTTGTAGCAACATACAAAGGCTGACAGGACAAAGGTATCTTTATTACAGTCAGGAATACAAACTGGTACATGTACAGGTAATGAACTCACCTTTGTTACAGTCAGGAATACAAACTGATGTAACAAAGGTGAAGAATACCAACTATATATACTAAGGAAATAGTTCATACCTAAAGGGGAAAATAAAAGGGGGAACAAAAAGGGGGGATATAATGTATACTTAAAGGGGAAAACAAAAGGAGATAGTATGTATCTAGGAATGTAGGGAAGATGGTTATAACAAAAGGGGGACTTGATACAAGTACAAAGGAAAAGTGTATAGCTTAGTAAGCTACTATAAGGATCTACATACAGGAAATACAGTTCTGTACCAGGACAAGTGTATAACTGTATAGAAACTGTTGTAAACTGTTAGGCAGGCTTACAGAAGTTCTGAGTTCTAGTATAAAAGGGTGTAGAACTGGTAGAACTGAGAGTACAAGAGTAGCAAACTATAACAGCTTGTACTATATAGAGGAGTCTGAATAACAATCATAGTACTTATTTATAACTTTAGTAGCTTAGTCTAGACTTTTCTTTACAAGTTCCTAAACCTCTTTAATATACTTAACTTATTGTTTAACAGAATATGTACTAGTCTTAGTTAAAATTGATCTAAAACTTATAGAGTGTTTTCTAGAGTTTATATAGAATAGAGAGAACTTTATAGTAGAGTGTTCTTGATTGTTATATACAAACTTAGTTATAGAAATCTATTCTACCTAGTCTGACTATTTATAGTCAACATACAAGTAGAGATACTATTCTATCTCTTGATTAATACACTCAGTTTAACTATCAGTTTAAGAATAATATACTATAAAGGAATTCTCTTTAATATAAAGAGCTTTGTACAATTCCCTCATAAATTTAGTATTGAATTACAGTCCTCTATCATGTATAATCTTTCTAAGTAATTTATAGAGTCTAAAGACTTAGTCTCTATACAGTCTAACCATTCTCTCAGTTATAACCTTTATAGTAGTTAGAAGAGTATGTATTTGCTTTAAGAAACAATCTATAATAATATAAATAGTGTTAAGTCTGTTAGACTCAGACAATTCACTAATTAAATTGACAGATATTACCTGTTAAGGTCTAACAAGTGTATTATGAGAATATAGTACCTTTTGTCTTGTTGTGTATAAGGATTTCATTCTTTAGCATTTATTACAGTCTTAAACATATTTCTTAGTATTTGTCCTCATTTATAGTTACCAGAACTCTCTCTAGATTATTTCAAGTGTCTTCTTATACTCTAAATGTTTTAGAGAATCATAATATTCCTTCAGAACTATTAATACAAGGTCTGAGAGAACATATATTTTTGAATTCCTACACATAGGAACTCACCAAACATATTAATACAGACAATAGGATTGTGTAAATCAACATCTGCAGTTGATTCTGGAACACCATTTGCATTCTACTCCAAATAAGTATGAAATAATTACTTATATAGACTCTCCTAGTACTTGTTTAATGTTTCTATACAATTATACTCTACTATCTTCAAGTAATACTGTCTATATCTTGAATATATTAGTATACATCATGACACTAGCTAATATCTGATTCTAGTACATACTTTGTTCAAAAATGTCTAACATATTGAAAGAATGTAGGGGAAGACTCAACACTTAAATTTTAAGAATACTACTCTACTCTTTATATATGTGTATATGTGTTAACCCTAAGTCCCTAAGGGTTGAACACATATACTTTCATACAGTACTCTTTGCTCTCCTCTTCTGCACCTTCTATGTTCTTGTAATCATTGTCCTCTCTAGTAACAATAACTTACTCTGTTAACCAGCCATCATTTTGTGTTAGTACATCCTCTATCCAACCTAACAGACTCTCATAGTTTATACAGTTGTCTTAATACTCTAACCCTCCTAGTGTATTGATTTGACTCATCTGTTCTGCCTGTTTCTTATGCATCTCCTCACATAACTCTATCAATTTGTTCAAAGATCATGTAGCTTTATAAATAAAATTAATGAGTATTTGCCTTCTAATTCTTGCTTCTACTCCTCCTTTATTTTATCTCTGTTGTCTTTGGTTGTTTGTATCTGCTTTGTCTTTCTAGTAATACTACCAAAATCCTTACTAAGATTGAGGTAAGAAAACCTAGCTGATTGTGAGCTACCAGGCCTTTTTCTAGGCATACTATATCTTGCTTAAAAGAGAGGGGGGAGATAAGTATAATGTAAAACACTCTAATCTGATAAAGTTTAATTATTTTTACATGAATGTCTCACAACTTCTACTACTATAGTCAGTACTCTATGCCTTACAGTACATTACAAAAACAAACACAAAAATGTATTAGAATATATTACTAAGACATATATTTTTTGTATATTAAGGGTCCTTATATTTGATTGTATTGTCTACATGTACATATATTGCCTTGTCAGACTCTGTACAAAAGTACAATAACATACTACATCAGACATGCTTACATCAGACATTATCACATACAAGACATTGTTACTTAAGTAAGGCAGAGTGTTGTTAAACAATATTTTTGATAATATTTACTAATAATTACATTTTCACTTGAAATTATAGATAAGTTAATGTATACAAGGCTAATAGAAAAAGAACAAGTATAAACAGTGAAGAAATGAGCTATATAAACAAGCTCATTGTGGTAAACAATAAGCTCAATACTGTAACATGTCTAATTGACATGTATTGTATTGTAGACACTTACATCACACATGTATTGAGTTATCTAAGTGTTAGGGGAGAAGTGTTCTCTAGGTTGATAGCACTCTCAAACTGCGAATGTAACCTGCAGCCCTTAAACCAACTATATTCCCAAAGCTACCAGCTAGGATTTATGCTAGGAGAACAAGTAGGAATACGAGAAGAGTCAAAAAACTGAGGAACTACTGTATCTACAGGTCGCTTTTTATAATAACTTGATAACAAGAGCAAAGTGAGGAATGAAACTTGATAATAAGATAAAAGAAATAATAAGAACAAATATCGCGAAGCCAACAGGCGCATCAGAGGCTAGGAAGAATTAACAGAGCGTTGCACATCAAGGAATATAGGCCAAGAGGCCATTGCACAAAAGAGGCGCGAGTTACCATATTGGGCGAGAAATGGATTGGCCGCGTCGTGATTGTATGCACCACCTCGCGTCTCCGTAGCTCTCTCCTGCGCTCAATACTGATACGATCTCCATGAAACTTTGTAGAACAATAGATGAGATGTCAAGTATCATGAAAATCCAGTAGCGATGTTGGGTTTTCGCAAAACTGATAGAAATATGAAGAAAATGAAATAGGTCCAATCCTGCAATCCTAACACTAAGCAGGGTGTAATGTGTGTTGCACAAATGTAATTTTTATTAAGTAAGTATTGTGCTTAGTATTATATGTAGTATAGGGAAAAAACCAAACTCCCTTCTAATTAGAGGGACTACAAGGGCTGTACAACCCCTCTAATTAGAACAGATATAGCCTGTGTCTTAGGTGAGGGAACATGATGTATACTTAAAGGGGAAGACAAAAGGAGATAGTATGTATCTAGGAATGTAGGGAAGGTGGTTATGACAAAAGGGGAACTTGATACAAGCACAAAAAAGAAAGTGTGTGGCTCAATGAGCCACTGTGAGAATCCATGTACAGATTACACAGTTCTGTACCAGGACAGGTGCAGAACTGTACAGAAACAGTTATAAGCTGTCAGGCAGGCTTACAGTTAATACTAATAAAGAGACACTTATAGTACTTATAATAAAGTATAATAAAAGGTTATATATATATATATATATATATACTACAACCTTAAACACAGTTTAATAATTTAGTATATTTATGTCTCTCTTTCTTACTCTCTTTCTCTTTACTTATATTTTAACTAAAGATAGTACTACTATTATTATTCAATCCTTCTTCTTTTTTTTTATAAAAGTTGTACAAACAAAAGTAAGAAGTTAATATATAAGTTTAATCAATCTGATTACAAACTTTGTAAGTATACAAAGTATTTAAATACTGATTGTGTATATTACTCTACTAACTTAGTAAAAAGAGTACTATTAGTCTTAAATAGGAAACAGTCTTAATTAATACTATCTTACAGTATTCTTCTTAACTATACAGTACTTCTGAAACTACTTTCTTAAAGTATACTTACAGAGTTATCTTCAATCTTGCTTTCTTTAATATTTCTTACTAAAACAACACTTTCTTTAATGTAAAAACTAAGTAAGACTATTACATTTTATGTATTTTAACATTTAATCTCTTTTGTTTTGCTCTTTAAAGTAAGGCACTAGATTCTTTTATACACAAGGTTGTAGTACAGAGACAGAATTAACTTAAGACAAACGTAATAAGTCATACTAAGAGAAGAGTGCTTAGCAAAAGAAAAGAGTAAAGAGAAACGCTACATAGTGATGCAGGGAACGGAAGCGAATCAACAAGATCCAAGATTCAAAATAGTAATATACACACGAACGAAGGCTCTTGTTATTAGCGCGATGGGGAAAAAAGATGGAAGGAGTGCGAAATCAAACAATGCATGCATGTATGTTGAGAGCAAGTTGAACGCAGACAGACTACGCACGAGCCTTCCAGTTCAAATGCAACAAACATTCAGCGTCATGATCAGTCCACGGATGCTCGACCTCTACTGCACGAATATGCGCTGCAACAGCCGGCGACCTAGGCCGGGCATCAACAGAGAATGGCTCAGGATGACTACATTCCGCACGCAACATCATAAACGCCGTTCATCAGTTTTGTGCTTACATTAGATTAGAAAAGAGCCAGAAAGCATACGCACGTGATGGTACCCGCTACCCAACCCTTTCCTTCTGCAACGTTGATGTTGGCCAAGTCTGACTCCTTGCCGCTTGACGGGCGGATGTTCAAAGCAGCGACGCTCATTGCGACGAACATGAAGAGAGTTGCATCTGCGAGTTCCCGGCCTGGACATGCGCGTCGACCGAAGCCAAATACGTATTCGCGTACATCACGTTCTGCGCAGTTTGTTGCAGCGTGTCGTGCGTAGGAACTGGTCTTCGCACCAGCGAAAGTTGGAGATGGAGGCGTTGAAGATGACGGAGAAGATGAGAGGAAGCGCTCCGGACGGAATTCGTATGGTGAGTCATAGACAAACGGGTCGTGTGCGTAATGCCTGCACGGAACGTCAGTTTAAATCTTACTCGTAGAGATGATACAGACGTACCAGATGTTTGGCATGACGACTGAACCCTTCGGTACTGTGTAACCTTCGTAGACGATGTCCTCAGAGTTGACATGCGGTAAACCCATTGGCGCAACAGGCGCCCAGCGCAGTACCTCTTTGCATAACGCGTTAATATACGGCAAGCTTTCCCGATCTGCGAATCCAGGTAGACGAATACCCCTCGTGACAGAATCCACTTCCGCTTGAGCACGCTCAAGCACATGGGGATGTAACAACATGGCAAGGAAGAATGCCTGAATCGCACTAACGGTCGTATCCGCGCCCCCAGTGTACAAACTGCTCGCACTCCACTTGATGGCATGTTCCTGTTCGGGAGTCAACACGCCTGTTCCTTCTTTATCGTACTTTTCTAAAAGCGCAGAAACATAACTCGGCTCCGCAACACCACTCGCGACCTGCATCTTCACGAACGCAAAAGGCTTCTCGACGAGCTCCGTCACAGTCTCCTTAAAGTACTTTGCAGTCGAATGGAAGCTGCGTGCACCAGGGAACCACGTGGGGAGATGTCGCAGGAAAGGGAGCACATCGACGATAAACGCGCCTGGTTGAGCGGCCATGCTGATTTGTGATATACCCTTGTCTGCAAGTGCATGAAGAGGGTCGCGGCCGGATGGGTCCATGGTGTACCCATATGCCATACGAAGAATAATCGCGCCTGTGGAGGTATGGACGTGCTTTTGCAATTTCGACGTGTCGTTGAGCACGCGCAGGAGGAAACGACGCGACTCGACCTCGATGAGTGGGTGGAATCGGGCAATGGACGAAGGTGTACCGATGATCTAGAATCTGGTAAGTACGATTAAAAGCACCGTGCAATAGCGTGTCACTCACTTGGTGCAATTCACGTCTGAACAGCCTGAAGGCATCCCCATACCTCTGCAAGGCAAGCGTGTTCTCCCATCCGCACATCTCTCCGCCTTTATAGATAAGTCAGAACGGGAGGTGAATTTATATATTATCACTTACCAAAGACTATCCGTGGTCTATCACTGAAGACTGCACTCCGTTTCTCGAAAAGGGCGGCAGCAGCAGCAGGGTCATGCAGCGCAACAATATGCGTGCCAAACACGGTCAAATGGGACATCGGGCCGAAACGCAATGCTTGTTCAGTCCAGCCAAGCCATGCACGACCAGTAGGAACGTCGAGCAAGTTTCCAATGAGGGGTTTTGCAGGAGGGCCAGGCGGAAGTGGAGAGGCGGTGGCAGCACGAGAGAGGCGTCGGAGGAGACGGCGGAGGATGAAGAGGCCGAGCGCTGCGAGGAGAGCGTCGGCTGCATGGAAAAGTATGGACATGTTAGTTTGTAGGGCAGAGATGAAGATGGAGGGTTAGGAGAGGAAGAGGAGGAAGGCTATTTAGCTGGAAGAAAAGAAGAACAGGTATCAATTGGGACGCCGACGCATGGACTTCTCCCGTGTTAGCTAGCGTCCATTTGCCAATCTCATTTCAATCTCCCTACTCGTACACCCGCCCTATTGCCAATTATACTCCTCGCTATTTCATCGCTTCCACCTACACCGCCCACCGACGATGACGAACACCGCGGAGGGACATCTTCCGCCCTTGTCTACCGGGAATTCGAGGCGGGAAGGGATAGAAAGAAGGGTGCAATCAGACGAGAAGACAGGGCAGTTTTTGCGAATTCAGACGCACCGATGCTCACTCCTTTGTTTCTCCTGCTTGTCACTGTCAATTTCGCTCGTCCCCCCATGTGCTCCCCGTGTTTCATGCACGTCACCCTGGCAGCACTCCGTATGCCCCTCTATCTCTCTCTATCCCCCTCTCTTCCTCCATTGTCATCTCCTCATTGTCCATTGTCATCGCCGGCAGAAATGCAACAGCAATCTAAATGAGAAAAGGAAGCGAACCATAATAGAGTGGCGTTAGCCCTTTTTAGTCACCCATCACCATCATCAACAATTGCATCTCATCGTGCACACACGGCTGTCTCCGTATTCAATAAGGCATAAAGCAGCTCCCAGTCCAGTATCTGCTCGGATATGAACGGACCTTTTTACATATACGATATCTGATGCTATAACTTACTTCTTTGATAAATACCTCCCTTTCTCTATTTCCCGCACGAGACGCATTTCAGGCAGTTAAAGAGCCGCACAAGCCTCGGTGATAGAAAAACTAGCCAGACCAGACTGAAAAAAGGCCTCCGAGATGCGACATTTTGAATCCGGCGATGCACAAATTAATCAATCATCTCTCGGCCTTGTTGCCGAAACCCAAGCCGATCATACACTCCCATTCAACGGACCCGGTTTGCAAACTCTATTCAATATTCCTCGTCTGCTTCGTCGGTGTCCATGGCTACAAATACCTGCTCAGTACTCTCCTACATTCATCTTCTGTCTTGCGGCGCACCTGGCTTGTCAAGCAAACAAACACAACTCTTCTATCTCCTTCTGTCCCGCAACTCTCCACAAGCCGTACCTTTATCTACCAATTCTGTCCATCTACCTTCTCTTATTTCTCGCACACGCGCCTATACTCAAGATCGGAAACAACACAGAACGTTAGTTTGGCAGGTCCTGTCTGTATTCATGTTTCGAACCTACCATAATTGCCAATAATTAAACACAACACGTTTTTCCATTCAACAAGTCAATTACTTGTTTGTATCTATCTCCACGGACGGACGCTCTAGCCCAAATGCAACGTTGCTTTTCCTACTGCAAATTCACTTCGAACGCGAAGCCACCAGCTAATTTCAGTCCACCTAAATGGAGTTTACTTGTTTCTCTCTAGTACCGTACCTCTCTTAATAAAGTCTATCCATCCATGCAAGGGAAGTCACTTAACCCACCACTCTAAAAATAAACAATCATCTCGCTCACTCCATTCAGCTTAAACTCATACGCCACATCTCCGACTCCGCGGGTTCTTTCTCCACCCACTTGTAAAGTAAAGCTTATAAGGTTTATATATGAAACTTGCATTTAACCTTGTATGATGCACAACACTGATTGAGCCTGCTTATCTCCAGGTACAATCTCTCCATCTTGCCATTTGTATCTTCAATCTTGTTAGTCTATATCACCACACATCCTCGTGTAAAGGTTATTATTGCTTGTTTGTCTGCTTGCAGTCCTCGAATACGTTTCCGATCACACAGCCTTTTATTTTATTTTTCATCTGTTACTATCTGTTCAGATGCTCATCAATTGTAGAGTCAAACGCTCAAACGATATAAAGTTGGGTAACGAGTTGCTCATTCCATGTCGCCGTTCATGAAAGCAGACGATTGCAAACCAATATACAAATATACAAAAAAAAATGAGATCTAGTCCAAGTCCATAATACTAAAAAACCTGAAACTGAAACCAAGAACATAAACTACACAGCAAAGGAAACATCCCATTTATCCTTTTGTCCATTTAACCGTTATCACCACACTATCCACAATTCACCAAGCATGCTGACCCCCACTAACCAGGATATCCGACCCAGTACAAAACGTACTCGCATCACTTGCAAGCCAAGCAACAACACCGCGAAGCTCGTCTGGCCTTCCAAGTCGACCCAGTGGGTTCTGAGTAGACCATTCAGTGAGCTTGTCTGTCTGGGAGTGTAAGACGTCGTGCGTCATTCTGTCATATAGTTTGTCGTTATTAAATTGTACTGTTGATAAGAGGAAAATGATGGACTAACGCAGTGTATATGTATCCTGGCGAGAGCGTGTTGACACGTATTCCTTTCGGACCAAGCTCACATGCCATACTCCGCGCCATCTGAAGAACCGCACTCTTGGATGTATTGTACGCAACCCATTTCTGGCCCTACGAAATTCGTTAGCAAATTGGCACAAAAGACCGACATCGACGCACGCACCCTATTCGCTATACTCCCCGACATCGATGCAACAAGTACGATGCTCCCCTTGATCTTTAGGCGATCCATCTGCCGACCCGCAGCCTGCGCGGTATAAAACGCCCCATTCACATTTACCTTCATCATCTTCTCAAACTCCTCTGCGGTGTACTCAAGACACGCTTGTTCCCTCAGTATCCCCGCAGCGGCGACACACACGTCCAACCTCCCTTCCTTCACTGCAATACTCTCCACAACATTCCACACTGCTTTCTGATCTGTCACGTCCACCTGAGCGTACTCGAGTCGTGCACCCTCAACTCCGAGACGCGAGACGTACGTCTGCGTAGCACGGAACGCCGAGCCCTCTTTCGGTCCGGGGAGGATATCAAGACAATAGACAACAGCCCCGGCCTCTGCGAGTGCTTCAGCCACCTCGAGTCCCAAGCCCTGGTGACCACCAGTAACGACCGCGACACGTTGGGCAAGTGAGAACTCCTTCTGTAGAAGTGTAGGAGTGGGTTTGAACGTTGGATCGGATGCAGCGCGGAGAGCAGCTTCGACGCCGATTGGGTGTAACAGGGAGTAAGATTGAGTCTTGGGAAGACGAGCAGGTGGTGTACTAGTGAGTAACCGATATTTGCCCACACGCGTCGATACTGCACTCGTCAATGCGACAGTGCGGGCTACAAGCGCACTCGACCTTGCACAGTATAAAGCAGGTTTGAGAGCAGAACACAAGCGAAGTGCAGCAGACATTGGGATCCTAGAGGTAGCTACATATCTGAACGGTAGAACGGACGCCTTTTAAGTTTATGTCCATCCAAGTATAACGTCACGCTATGTCGCGGTTACTTGTAAGAACTTGCATGCCGCCTTCCGCAGTACACGGCGATATGTTTTCGGAGCTCGTTAGTATGTATATGGTCCGTCCCGTGGTCCGAGCGGGGAAAATCAAGCGAAACGTCATATCAGTGGGCGAGTTCGATGTTTTACTGCTATAGAGAAGGCAAAACGTGTGAATATAGACCAGAATACGATGGCCAGACCACGGAGAGAATGGGATGAAAAGTATGTGCAAGCGTAATCGGATCTAATTACAGCTTTCTCGGTGAGTTTTGAGTTTTCTATGGTGCATCGACGAGCAGACACTGAACTGCTGAGATTGAGAGCCGTCCGAGTAGAAACGCATGAGCATAGTGTATTATAAGCGATTGGTACGCCATCTGTATGGATGAACAAAACGTCATGGTAGAAATAGAGCTTGCTTGCTTCTGAGCAACGGCGAAGGGAATTCATATGTAATCGTTGCGCGATGTCACGCGTGCAATCCTACGCAGCTCGCGCCTTTCCTTTCCGGCTCAGCGCGTCACGTCGTCATCTCCGTGTAACTTGCCACCTCTGTGAGGTGTCTCGAGTCCAATCCCTTTGCAAAATCGACCTTCATATTAAGCTCTATACACTGCTTATCAGAGTTCTAATGGTGCTAGTCCTCAAATACGGAATATTTTTTTTCACTAATATGAAGAACAGTGACTGTGATCAGACTGGCAACCACTAAGGTAAGGAAAGTATAAACTCGACATAGTATGTCACATCAGTCACAGCACAGCCACTTCCCCATTAGGAAGGACCCTGATGGCAAAAATCGAGCGGTGGACATCGACATTTTTTTAGCACTTGTAAATACAAAAAAAAATATAGATTATGGTTTTACAGCTCAGCCAGAATACTAGCTGGAAGGATTCTATAGCTATAGTATTTCTTATTTGCCCATTGAGCCTGTGCTCCTGTCAACCCCTTTCTATATGTATCCATAAACTGAGCAGACTAGTTACAATACTTACAAAACATATAATAAAATTAATTTTGTAAGAAAGAAAGATTTAAAGTACTTACTTTTGAAATAAATCAAGAGGAATAGAATTAAGGCATGTTTGAACATGCTTTTCCATTTGAGCTTTAGTAGTAGGGGCAGGCATCATCTGGTAGTTGAATTTAGTATAACTCTAGAACTGTCTGTCAATTTATTAGACTTAATTAGGATAACAGTCTTTACATTCTCTCTAAAACCTAGAGTGTTAAACTCTTCCTTGTTGTCAGTCTATAAGATTTGGCTTAAACTTGTAGCCTATTTCTTGGTAAGCTATATTGTTTATTACTCAGTCTTAAGTATATCTTACAAGTTTATTACTCCTCAGATTCTGTATTCTGACTTTATCCCTTCTCTTTTGTTAGAGTATTATAAGTAGAACAGAGGAAAATAGGTCTAAATAGCTGATATTTACTAATCAAATGTACATTACTCATCAGGCACGTGTTCTATATAAGGAAATAATTATATAATAGATATTTAACTAAAGTGGCAAAAATCTTTAGGAAAAAATTCAAAATTTCACTAAATTGTATTTCTGTACATTTAGTACTAAAAAAAAAAGTTTTTTTTTTTAGAAATAACTTACTCAAATCTCAATATTTTAAAAAATCAAAAACATACTTTTGTAGGTTAGATTAAGCTGAATATATCTATGTGGCTCAAATTTGCATTTTTAGGATACTAAGTATTGTATTTTGCTATTATTGTTTGTATCCAAATTAGGTTAGTTTATTATGTTACACTATATTGAGTTTATACTTTCCTTACCTTATAATGTATAATATATTACTAATGTCTAGTCCTAGACCTAGCAGACTCAGTCTGGACACAGGACTAGACCTGAGGACTAGTTCTCTACAGTTTAGTCCTTATAGGTTTAAAGAGGGTCTAGTCCTGTATTCATCAAATTAAGAAATTTTCTAAACTAATAGACTAGTTCAGACTCAGACTAGACTTTAGACTTGAATGTTTTGTGTAATTGTTTATAGTACAGAATTATTTGTAGTACATATTCTGACATTCATTTTACTTTTCAGTCTCTTTAATTACAACTTTGATTTCCTTCTTGTTTAACATTTCTCTAATACTAGAAGTAGTATTATAAACTTGTAAACCTTTAACAGAGAAGTTATACCTATTCTAAACAATTGTAAGGATTTTGTATGTTGTAATCTTTGTTTGTACAATGTATTTAGAGCTAAGAGTTGTAAAAACTGGTAGTAAACAAGTACATTTGATATACAAAGCTAGATCAAGCCTAAGTATACATTTAAATATTTCCTCTAAATTACTATCCTTTAAGATATATAAACACATATATATATGTATTACCTGTAAATGTAGAGAGGAGTATTATGTATGTTAAGAGTAGTCTTTAATACTAGACTGTTGTCTTCTCTAAGAACACATTTATAAAACTAGAAAGTAAGAGATACTAGCTTGTGTTCTTAACTTTATACTAAATACTAAGTCTACAGAATGTAAGAAACTAAGTACATTTATATTACTTGTACATTACTCTTAGTATGTACTTTTTTTCTTCATTTATTATAATATAAAGTTGAGAGTTTTTTAGAATAACTCTTTATACTACTTAATCCTTACTCACATTATTTAGAACTACTTACTTATTTAGAGCTTGTCTATTCCTTATAAGTATGTTTTTTCTAGTGTAGGACTTGTTAATACTAAAAGGCAAAACTACTTACTGTCTAAAACATTTGAATCTATAGAAATCTTAAAGACTTATTATAAAGGGCTTTATAATTAGTTATATTATCTATGTACTTAGATACAAAAAATAATGTACTAACACCTCTTAAATTGTTCTCTCAAGTTTAGTTATAAATAGTCTAAAACTGAATTAGAACTTAAGTCTAGTCTAGTAACTATCTATATAAGTCTAGTCTATAGTTTAGAACACTCTTAAACTATAATTTTAGTCTAGTCCTAAGTCTAAGTAAAATACACTTAAACTAGACTAAAACTAAACTTTAACAACTATAATATATAATACTTATAAAGCTAATATAATTGAGTAAATATAAAGTGTATAATTAGACACAAAATGTATTTTCTTAACTAACTATGTTTTTATTCTTATCCTTATTATGTTAACCTTCTAACATAAAACACTTCTTATATACTTTATAATTGTATTTTATAAGTTAGTATAACTTATTTTAACCTTTCTTCTTATTTACATTTCTGTTTTAATTATTATAAATGTTAATAGTATAACTCTCTTTATTTTAGTTATAATATGTTTTTATTAGTAAAATACATAAATTAATAATTAACTATTTTATAAAGGTTAGAACATAAATACTAGTAATATGTAAGGTTGAGTTAGGTTAGGTTAGAAGAGTTTTTAGTCTGACTCATAACCTAACTTAGGTTAGAATTTTCTAAAAATTCTGACTTGTAACCTGACTCAGTCTGACCTAGCTGGGTTAGGTTAAAGTAGGTTAAGTCAAGTTAGATTAAAAGTCAACCTAAGTTAATATATACTTATACTAGTCTCTTACTATAGATTTTCTTATACAACCCTTATTATAGATAGAGACTATTACTATCTAAGTTAATAAGTTTATTAATAAGTTTAGTTATTATAGAATAAAACTCTATCTATTAAAGTAATTCAAATTTATACTTAAAACACTTATAGTTAATTATTAAGGTATAATTATAAAATATATACTTGAGTAGTTAATAATTATTATACTTACATTACAAACTGTGTTTAATACAGATAAAGGAGGAAAGTAGTTATACTTTATTTAAGCTAAAGATAAGAACAGATTATACATACTATATAGTATATAATATTAATCTTAAGTCTGTTTAAATAAACAAACTTTATACATTTTCTAAACAATTAAATACATACTACTTTTAGGTAGAGTAACTAAGAAGCTAAGACTACTTGTCTGTATTCTAGTTAGTAGATACATTCTTACTATCATTTATATAAACTATATGTTTCTTGTTCTTACTCTCTAGATTTATGTTTAGATTGTATTCCTGTCTGTTTATTTTAAACTATTTTAGTTTTATCCCCTTTAATAGTTTTATAGCCTCTTATACAGTATTTATGTAAGTCTGTAAATATTTACTTTTATTTACTTTGTATATTCAAACATTATAAATAAAGCTAACAATTATAACAAGTTAACTATAGTATTTTACTAAACACATAAAGAAAAAGATCTTAGTCTTTAATAGTACTTAGTCTATTATCTTAAAAAGAATGATTCTAACATTTCTATCCTAGTTAAGATTTCTCCTCTCTACAAACAGTTACATATACTTGTTCTTAAACTAGTACTTATATATTTAGTAGTACATAAAGATACTATCTAGTTTTTTAGTTACATCTACAAGTAGAATAAAGTATATATATTTTAGACACTTTAAGCTAAACAGTAAAGAAAGACTATATAAGAGGAGAAAAACTAGTTAAGTAGTATATATAAAAAGATTAATTAGAATCAGAACTGTTTAAAGAAAATATGGTTAAAACATTTGCCTCCTTAATTTTCTGACTAGTTTAGTAACATACAATCATTTAGTAGTAGTTACACACTATTTAGAACAAAGTAAAAATATTTGAAGTTGTTCTGTTCTACTACTTTATATCTACAATCCCTACTATTAAAAAGAGCTACTTGTATAGAACTGATAATACTTGAATAGGTAAATAGTCTCTTACAATTTAGGAAAGGGTAGGAAACCTGAATTCATTCTCTTAGTAAAACATTAAATACTTTATTACAAAATAAGAATAATAGAATACTTTCTACTAGAGTAATAGATTCAAACCCTTATTAGAGTTTATATCTTTAACATTATTAGTATACCTTGTAAGTTCTTTATAAGGATC